AGGGGGGTTGTTACTTTGTGAGGGTGAAAAGGGTAACTATTGCATTGTTCTGTACACCTGAAACTAACAATAAAAAAAATAAAATTAAAATAAAAAGACTAGCTATGAGTTGGTAATGTTTAAAGCTGGGTGATGAGTATACAGGAATTTATTATACCATTTGTCTACATTTGTTAAAAGGTTAAAAAATAAGATAGAAAGAGGAAGAAAATAATTACCAGGCTTCTTGCTTGTATACTTAAGTGATAGAGGTTCTAGTTATAGAGATGGGGAAGACTGGATGTGATGTGTTTTGTTTTAAATTGTTAAAACTAACAGTACTAATTTATTATGTTAGGTAAAGCTTTTTTGCTGAAATTAAATCATGAAATGATCAGACCATAATTATGGTCCGAAGAGCTACAAAAGAAGTTAGGACACAGATTCACTTGAGATGAGCCTATTTCATCAGGTGTCACTCAATTCTCCCATCACCTTTTTCTATTTCAGTGGTCCTGAAACTGTGACCCCCAGACTAGCAGCATTGGCAACATCTGAGAACTTGTTAGAAATGCAAATTCTCAGGCCCTACCTTAAAACTACTGAACCAGAATCTTTAGGCCTGGGACCCAGCAATCTATGTTAACAAGCCCTCTGGCAATTCTGATGCAGCCCATAGTTTGAGACCACTGCTTCTATTCAGACTACAGAGAAATGTTTATTGAGCTGCTACACCAGGCATCATTCATTCCCCAACGTCCTTGGCTACAATGCATCATTTACATATTAAGTTCCCCTCTATTCTTACCCCATTCTCCCCAATACTATTACTTGGGGTCAACAACAACAAAAACACAAGTACAACAAGCACCTGACCCTGTGGCTGAAATAAATTATAAGGCGATGCTCTCTCCTATAAGCCAAAATATCATTACATTAATTTTAGAATCCTGAAATGAAAACACAAAGTTAAAATATTTCTGTCTTAAAGAAAACTGAAAATTCATCCAAGGAACACTATGAGTCTATAGATTACAGCTAGAAAATTTTTGTTGTAAAATATAAGGAAAGCTTTTCAATGCAGTGTTCACTTATACCACTGAAGCAGTGTAGTATCCTGGTAAGAGACAGGGGATCCAAAGACTTGTTTTAGTGCCAGGAATTTTGCTTTGTAACCACAAAAAGGTAAATGATACTCAGTGTCTTTATACATAAAATGATTGATTGATTTTGGTTGATTCCCAACAAGGCTTACATAGTAAAATCACCTGAGAGGTTCCCTTTCCCATGCAGAGAGTTACTAAACCCTTGACTGCATGAAGTACACCTTCCTCCGCTAGAACTCTAGGGTTCCGTATTGGCAAGTTCATTACGAATAATGAACTGGCAAGAACTGTTCTTTATTGTACAACAAAAATGTTAAAGAAAAGTAGAGAGATGACTGATTTTTTTCTTCCTTAAATTTTAAATTCATGGGTAATGTTAATTTTCTTAAATTATTCCATAGGTTGTGTTCAGGCTAAAAAGCATAAGCTGCTATAACATCTTTAAATATTTTACCTGTAAAGCTCAAAGAGAAAGATATCTTTGTAGTGGACAAAGTACTAACAAATCTAACTTACCATATAATCCATGTGCTCAGACTAATTATAATACAATGAAGCTCTGTTCTCCAACTCTTGAAGTGTTTCAATGAATGCTGGCTGTCTGAGTTTTTACCACATCCCTAAAGATGAACAGAATGCTATTTATATGATTTACACATAAATTTGTTTCAAATTAACCAAAACTTAAACCATACTCACAAAAAACCTTCTAAGATATAAATAGGTAAAAGCAGGTCTAGATATGAGAACTATTCCAAGTGGGCTCGATTCCCTTTCAAGTTTTTATAAACCACAAATGACTATTCTCTGAACAAAACACACCTTTTATTTTACCTTAAACATTTCTAAACTCAGGCTTGGAGAGTTCTATCTAAACATGAAATAAATTTATCATAAGTTCTAAGTATTAACAGAATGCTTAGACTAATAGTCCAACTCAAAATAAACATTTAAGGAAAATATTTAAGACAAATTCACACATAAAAAAATCCTTTTCTCACCTGAAAGCCACACTTGAGGCACAACCAAATATCAGAAGGAAGTACTGGCTGTCCATCATAAAATCTTCTTTCTTTTAAACATTCTGAGCAAACTGACCACAGGTTCTCAGCTATTGCTCTTTTCACATGATTCACACTGACAGCATGACTTACATGTTCACAAGTAAAACCTACTGAATAAGACAAAACAAAATTTGAACATTTTCTTTGCTAAACCAAAGTGTTAACGTCAGTAAGTAAAAGTCACTAACATTAAAATGCTGTTAACCAAAAAGCAGTGATTTAAAAAAAAAAAACCTCAAAAAGATACATAATGCATTACCCCATGTATAAAACGTTTGTGAAATAACATAATTATAGAGTTGGAGAAAAGATTAGTGGTTGTCAGGAGCTACAAATGGGGAGAAGGAGATGTGGTTATAAACAG